GATCGAACACGTATTCTAGAAATCTGATAAAAGCGCAGCGCGTCACCGACGTACTACTAACTCTAATAGAAGGCAACTGAACTCACGTACTTTCTCGGTTGTCCTTTAGTCCCTTGGTTACCGTATAAAGCGCTCTGCGTCACACACACCCCCTTACAACGGCACACCGTTTTTTCCCGAAACGAGCGTTCTATTTATAGATAAGTAATTTTTATTTTAGGATATTCTTATATTTGTGTAACACAATGCAAAAATAAGAATTCCTAACACTTAGTGCTTGCGAAAGTGCTTGAAGCACTTTGAGGACTTGAAAGCCCTGTGCTTCAAGCCCTTTTATAGATTTGTAATTGGGGCTTGCAAAGTCAATTACTTTAGAAAAGTGCTTGGTAATTTGTAATTGAAAAAAGTAATTCAAGCCCTTTCAATGAGCTTCAATTACTTTTAGAGGGCTTGAAGCACTTTTGGGAGCTTGAAGCCCTTTGAAAGGGCTTCAAGCACTTTAAGAGGGCTTGAAACACTTTTGGGAGCTTGAAGCACTTTGAAAGGGCTTGAAGCACTTTAAAAGGGCTTGAAGCACTTTGAAAGGAATTTGAATTGACCATCATTCAACCTATCCCCCACTTAAAAATTTTCGATCGTATTTTGTCCTTTTTTTTTCTATTATTTGTTTTCTCTCTTAACAATGGAGGTTTTGAATTTGAGCTTAGAATGGAATTTAAAAAAAAAAAAATGAATGAACTTATTATTCAAATAAATAATTAATTTATATTGGTATCCTATTTAACTTTATCACTTGATTTTTTTCACTTTTCCCCATTGAACATTTTGAAAACCTTAAAATTGAATTACCATGTAGTACCCCAACTACCCCAAGTACCCCAGAACTACATCTCAAATAAAACATACTACTGCTACTCTGTGAAATTAAAGTTCGTCTCTACTATACCAATTCTGTGTGATGAGTGTATGCGGTAGCTTATGCCACTTTGAGAATTTTATTACAAATTCAAAGTGCTTTAGGCACATATAAAGACCTTCAAGCACATTTAAAGAGCTTGACGCACACTTAAAGTGCTTCAAGCACTTTTCAAATCACTTTGAGGGCTTTGTGCTTGTCAAGCCCAAAGCACTTTGAGGGCTTTGTGCTTGTGAAGCACTTTTGAAAATAAAAAGGAATTTGTGCTTGAAATTGAATCACTTTGATAGAGGGCTTAGGGCTTAGTGCTTCAAGCCCTTTTACTGAGGGCTTTGCCCAGCTCTGCTTCTGTTGAACTGTATCTACTTTTCATAGTCATATATTTTGTATAAGACTACCTACTTACATCAGCAGGCCGAAATCAAGTCCAATTCAATTATATATGAATGTTAATACACCTCCTTGAAACCCCTTTCCTGGCAAAATAAGAGGACTCGAAAATAAGAGAAAATTTAAGATTGGAGTAAAAATTCTTCTTCTTCTAAAGCATGTTATTATTCTGTAGGTATATGAATTTCTAAACGACTCACTGAATTGAGTGTTGTCTTGTATCTATCAGTAATTGAGTTTATGAATTTTACTATAAACTTGGCTGTTCTTTATCATCTCATACATATGTGATTTGTATTGAATTTTTTTCGTTTGTCTGGTTCTGGTACAGGGTATCTATTGTTTTATTGTTGTCTTGGATTACTTATATAAATGTTTTTAACTAATCTTGAAACCTAACAGAACTATTTAGTATAATAGGTCTATTTTGTTGAAAAGAATAATTGTAAATTCTTGGTACTTCATACAATAAAGTTTTTTCAATTTTGAATTCATTTGATTTGATTCGTAGAAATTTTTAAATTGCGTTGAAGTCCTATTTTATTCATGAATGTAGTTTTACACTCGGGAGTCCCGAGTCGGGACCAGAAGCAATCTATGCCCTTTCAATTTTTCAAGACGGAATTCTCTGCCAGTAGTTTCGCGAAAGCTCTAACAAAAATACATTATCGGCTTACAACTGCTTTTTTTCTATTTACAATTCACAAAACGCTAGGGAGGTACCTACATATTTCTTGTAAAAAAGTTTTATAAACTGATGAAACAATTTTTCCTATGATATTTTCAAAATATAGGTACCTAAGCAAAATTGCCATTTGATACTAATATGTAGTTTATGAGACACTGAGACAAATGAATGCAACCCTTTCTTTTCAAGCCTTTTTTCCTTCATTTTTTAGTTTGCCCATCTTTAGGCAGACTACTATGTTAGTTTAACGAAAATTGTTCAAAATCTTTCGAATAATATCTTAAAGCAACCTTTTTTTTTAAATCCCTGAGCCTTTTCTACGTTTCAACAATTTTTGCTACGTCCTTGTTCAAGTAGGTTGGTATTCTTATTCTTATTCTTTCTCAGCCATCTCTCTTCCATACTTTCCTATGTCTCTCTGTCGTACCGTTCCCATCCACTTCTTTCCAGCTATCGTAGGTACTTAATGATGTCGTCTGTCCTTATTTCAATTGTGGTCTGCCTATTCCTTTTTTTTTTGTCTGACGCGGTCTCCTTTTCGCAATTATGTACGTTCTGTCTCTTACATACATGTCTAAACCATTTGCACTTAAGGCTTGCCACTTTCTCTAAAATATCTGTTACTTTAAATCTGTTTCTTATTGCATTATTCCGCATTTTGTCTCTAATGGTAATGCCTAGCATGGCCCTTTTCATAAATCTTTAGGCCACGAGTTCCTCAGCGATCTTTCTAGTGAGAGCCATAGTTTCCAGTCCATAGGTGTGTACCGGCAAAATACAGCTTTCATAGACTTTACGTTAAGACTAAGGGGTAGAGTAAAAATCAAACGAGAAGAAGCCACACGCGTTATCGTTTGTCTCATTTTAAATGGAAGGGACCCAGAGAAAAGGAAATCTGCCTTCCTTGTCAGCGATGAAGGCGATGGCTTCTTCTCGTTTGATTTTTACTCTACGCGTGTGTCATTAAAAAGGCTGCCCAGGCTAGTTGTTTCCTACGTGCCACCCCCCCACCTGTCTAATTTTCTTTTCCTAATTTAATGATGTGTCTGAGATAAACATAATGGTTAACTGTTTCAATTTGTAAGTTATCGATTATTGTGTTTCCAAGTTCGTTACCAATATTTTTGTTTTACTTAAGTTCATTTTAAGACCTACGTTTTTTGATGTTATATTCAGATGGCTCAACCTGCCGCAATTGTTGTATAAGTATCGGAGCTAATCAATACTATGTCATCTGCGATGCAAATCTCACGTGGTTCAGGTATACACCGTCAATATTTATACCCTTTTCGTGCCATGAGAGTTCCTTGAAGATATTTTTCACACCCAAAGTAAACACTTTGGGAGAGATGGTGTCACCTTGTCTGGCTCCCTTTTCAAGAGGTATTTTGTCTGTCTCAAGGTCATTATTCACCTTAAAATGAAATGAGAAACGAGTATGAAATAACTTAAATCTATCCTGACGTGATGCCCATGTTTCTATACTATCGAACGCTTTTTGGTAATCTATAAATGTGAGGTGGAGTGATACATTGTATAAGGTTGTTTTCTCCATTAGCGTCCGGATTGTCTGAAGGTAGTCTTGTGTTCCAAAACCCTTTCTGATCCCCGCCTGCTACTACCGTTATTTGACCCTAACCAGGTGTCTTCCAGTTTTTCATTTGCCCTAGAGCGTGTTTAATTTCGGGTATAGTTATCTCCGGTATATCCTCAGATCCAGCATTTAAAATTGTCCGTTTCTAAGTTTTCTGTTATATGTTCTGTCTATGTTTTGGTTTAGTTCTGTTGGAGTATTGAATCTTTTCGTTATCTCATTTTGGTATTTTTGTTGGTTGAGCAATAGGTAAAACATCGGTTGTTGGGAGTCTGTGTTTGGTTATTAACTGTTTTCTCTGCAATACCAGATCTATGTCGATAGTAGCTCTGACCAGTCTGTGGCAGGTGACAGGTCCTTGCAGATAGCCTTATCTGCACAAGATATAGTCAATTTCGTTTTTTGACTGACCATTTGGATGCCGCCAGGTTGATTTTTTTGAAAAATTTATTTAAACACAGTAAAGTAGTTTCTCGCTGTTTAGGTAATGATAATGTTAATGTGACCATTTTTCCCCAAAATGGGCAATTTGAGCAAACAAAACTGCATCTACTCTACAAATTAAATTTCATGACTATTTCACTAGAGTGTATTACACCGGCAATAAATTCGGTATTCACCTGACAATATTGCTACCTGGACAATACCAACAACATGGTATTTCAGCGAACATTTTTTGACATTGTCAAACTGATATTTTTAATTTGAAGTTTTTATTCATATTTTTGCATTCTATTTATTTTCGAAATCTTACGTGAAATAGTCATGACGAATACCACTCGGGAAAAAATTGTGTAGACAAAATTGCTCTCAAGGTTTTATTCAAGTTTGTTGCCTTACGGCAATTAGGCATTCCAACGACCTGTCAAAAGTGTGTCAAAAAGTGCGTTGTGGCGAAAGTTCATTATCCCGTATAGGGTAAGTTCGCCGGTTTTCGACCACTTAACAGAAGTTTCAACTTTGAAGCCCAATTTTTATATGTTTTTTATTGTTTTGGATATCAAGGAGGGTTACATATTGTTCCTTAAACATTTTAGAATAAAAAATATATCTTTGTGAAATTTTTGAAGTCATACTCTATTTTTTTACTTAATAAAAAAGAAAAAATTGTCGATTTTGCCGGTTTTCGACCACAAATTGCCTCAAGACGACCTTTGCCTTCCCAGTTTTCGACCTAACTGGTGTGATACCCACCGTCGAAAAACAGACCTGTTTGTCGACAGCAGTTTTTTCTTATTTAATGGGATTTAAAAAGCGCAATAAATAACTCAAAATGTGGTTTGAATGATACCTATATTATTTAAAAAAAAAAGAATTTCTTCTTCAAAAAACAAGCAGGTAAACTTAAATAAATCTCATTATCAGGAACCATTTGTTAGTAGGTAGGTAACAAAAATAAATAAATTAGGTACCTTTTAACACAGTTATATGTTTTTTCCGAGGCCTCTGCATATGGTATCCCATAAAATTCGGTGCATTTCATGTGAAACCAATTTTCACAATTATCGCAACCAATATTCATTTCATCCTCTTCTTCAGTCTCACTTTCCAATTCTTCCCCACATTCTGCACATTTAATTTTTGCTTTTTTTTGAGGTAACAAAGGCTTTTGCATTAGTTTAGAGGGCTTTTTTCTAGCAGTTGTCTTTGTTTTGAGTTTTTTCTTATTCTCTTTATTTTCTTTGGCTTTTTTTCTTAGTTCTTTTCTCTTCTCGACTTCTTCTGTTTTTTTATTTTTAATTTCTTCCGCCTTTTTATAGTACTCTCTCCATTTAGCCGATGATATTGCACTAGGCATTTTTTGTTGGTACTACTCTTATTTATAGCATGTGGATATCTTAGGTGTTTCCTAAACGTTTCGGATGGTGATATTTCCTGCACTATAGTTGGTTTAAGGATATCATCGGATGTTGAATTTACTTCTTTTTGAGCTGTTTCAACAGGGTTCAAGTCAATTTCATTCATCAATTCATTTCCGTTTTTATCTTTCATATTATTAGCCTTTTTATTCTCATTAGTTGTTTCTTCTTTATCCACATGTTCATCTTCAGAATTCGACATATTGTTGATTATTATCTCTTTATCTAGGTATCTATCAAGATTTTCATTATTAAAGCTAATATCATGTCCCTTAGCTTCATCATTTTCTGCGTTAGTCTTTTCTTTCAATACTCCTGATGTATTATTTAGGTCTCCAGTGTCAACGTTTGTATCATGCTCTTCAGTTTTATCATTGTCAGTCTTTTCGTGTGATACTTGAGGTATATCATCTAAGTTCCTATTTTCAAAGTGTGCGTAATTTTCTTCAGGTACTTTATCCCCTAAATCGGTATTTTCGTTTGATACTATGTTTGCATTTTCTAAATTTCCATTCTCAAGGTGTTCGCCATGCTCTTCAAGTTCATTATTTTCAATATCATTAGTCTTTTCGATTGATACTATAATTATATCATCTGTCACTGCCTCTGCAATCGTATTAGTTTCCATCATTTCTACTTGTGATTTCTTATTTTCAGCTTCATTTATATAGTCTTTTGATTTGGCGTCGTTAATACTCATCACAATCTCATCTACTATCTTCTCCTGTGAAGATTTATTCATATATTATATCACAAGAGCTTTAAATTTAATCGATTAAACTATCCAACATATTTTGAGCATGATTTTGCTTGGAAAATAGTTGAATGCACAATAACTTAATAAAAGCCCGAGACTGCGAAGCGGTCGAGGGCTTTTATTTAAAAGTTATTGTGCATGAAACTATTTGCCAAAAAGCAAAATTATGCAAAAAATATTTGGATAGTTTAATACATTTAAATTTATAGGTCAAGTGGTATACGGCTAGATTATTTCCTGTATAATTAGGATTGAATTGTTGGCGTCAATCCTATCCAAAGAGTTCTATTTATTATAAAATCTCAGAATATTTCTATCAAAATTCTGTCAAAAAAGGTAAACAAAGATTTAATCGCTGATAAACAAGGTCTTGTGAAATAATCACTTATTTAAACAATATTCATTCAAAAAATGACGTTGTCTGATGGGTCTATTTTATAATGAATGAAATAATCTCAATTATTATATCATTATTATTTTCAGTATTTAGGATAAAACTAGTATCCTCAAACTCCCATTCTATTGTGTCATTATAGTTAATTTTGTTTAGTTCGTTAGTTAAGTTGAAGCTGTCTGCGTCCATTAGTTCAATAAAGTCATGCATGCTTTGATTGTTGGCTGTATCAGGAATTTCCGTAATTGCACATTGGTGTATCTGTACGTCTTCCAAAGATACAATATCTCCAATTTGTAAAACTTGGCTTTTCTCATTTTGATTCACTTCCTCTCCTACATTTTCCTTTCCGTTTTCCTGGGAAATGGGCTCGTTTTTCTTCTTGCTTTCAATTTCTTTCCGAATAACTTCAACAATTACTTCAACATCAACATTACGTTCCTCTAGTTTGTCTCTAATTCTTGTAATTACCTTTTCTGCCAAAGTCAGTTCTTCTTCACTTATATGTTCTTTTTTTTCGTGTTCCTTGTGTAAATTTTCTAAGACGTTCTTGATACACTTCGTATAGTCTACTGCATTAGGATCCAGAGGAAATAGTCCGCATTTTCTGAATCCATTAGTTATGCTTTTTTTTCATGTCATGTTTCTCGAGAGTTAGGTACTTGAAATAAAGGGCAAAATTTTTCTCGGGTAACGGATATGTTTTCATTTCCCGGAATTCTGTGCCACTCTCTAAGGGTCTTTCTCCATTGTGCCTTCATTGGAAAGAAAACACTCACATCCGCAGGTTGGAGTAGGTGTGTTGTGTTTGGAGGCAGCACATACAAAATAATTCCTAACTGAGTGCATATCTCGCTAACAGCCAATGTAAGATGGGATTTCTGGTCATCAATGAATAAAATAATGGGCCTTTCTATTTGATTTTCTTGAAGCCAGTTAGCAAAATCGTTGGCGATATATTCATAAAATACATCACCTCGCATCCATCCTGTATCTGACTTTCCCAGAACCCAAGATTTAGGCATGCTTTCTACTATAGTTTTTGGTGGTCTTACAAAGGGAAAAACTACCAAAGGCGGGGCAATTTTCCCATCAGCACTGATAAGTATAAGAACTGTTACATTCTGTTTATCATTACCCATATTTATAGTAAAAAGGTTTTTGAAACCTTTAGGACCCAAAACTTTGTTTTTCTTTGGACATAGATTGAATCCGACTTCATCCGCATTAAAAATCCTAGAGGGATCTTTAAACAGATCCTCTATATTATTTTCCCTGGAATATTCAGCCAGTTCACAAAACCAAGATCTAAAGACTTTGATCTAATGTATTCCTCCGTCACAATAGCTCTAGCTTTGCTTACTCCTTCTGCCTCTTTCACTGCAATTTCAGGGTTACGTTTTAAAAAATTGCTATACCATTTTTGACCTGGTCTTCCGTTTTGAAATTTGTCAGCCTTTTTAATATCTTTGGCAATCTTTTGAACAGTGTCAAGTAGATATTGCTTGTTTACTGGAAACCCGCACTTGGCAATATTAAGTACCCATTCTTTAACTTTATTTTCTACGCCTTCACCAAGTACTGGGATTGGACCCGTTTTCCTTTCTAGGGTGATATTACTCCGCCCTTTCAGATGATCAATTAGGGTTATTTTTGGGATGCCATAATGAAGAGAAGCTTTTCTAATACTAATTCTCTCAGCTCTCACTTCCTGCAAGGCCAGTTTTAACGCCTCATGTGAGTAGTTGAAAAATTTCCTTTTCAGTCGTTCCTTTTTCATCCCAGCTCCAGTTACTGTTTTTTTTTGGGACTGCCATCTGTAAAAAAAAAAGAAATTTAAAGGTAGGTAGGTACCTACATGACTCATAAACGTACTTAAGCGTATACTTAGGTATACGCGTAGGTACATAATTTAAAAATATGTAGTTCAAAATTGTCTCTAGATGCCTAGGAACTAGGAGGTTCAAAATGAGGTTTGTTTAGGTATGCATACCTGCACTTGGTTTCGGTTCGTTCGATTCACCATCGCCAGAATCCCTTTTCTTCCCTGCTCTGAGCTTCTTTTTGGGTGCCATTTTGCTGTCACATCGAACACGTAACAATCCACGATCAAATCTGCAAATTATGGTCTTGAAAATATAATACTAGCTATTGGTGTCGATAAATGGAGCTTTCTCTCGACCACGAATATATTGCTGTATTTCGCATGCGGTCGACAAATTGGCCATTCCTCGACCGCCAAAATCTTCCTATATTTCACAGCCCTTACTCTCGTATTTCCACCAAGAAAAAGGCGGTCGAGAACTGGACATTAGACATGTATTTTCAAAGCTTCCTTAACATATAAAAAAAGCTACTATTTTCAGTGTTAAGACTACGATGGAATCAAAAGAAAACAAAGATCTTTCAACCAGTTTTCGACCACCTGGTCGAAAACCGAATTTTAGTATTTTTTGGCACCCGGTTTCCCGACCACCCGCTTTTTTAGGGAAAAAATTAAATAAACATAAAAATAATTAATTGAATACGTGTGAATCTATCCTACGTATGAACAATGTAGAGAAAATTGAAAGAAAATGCTAAAATCAGCTACTTACCTGTTCGTTCCCAGGCACTCTTCACTAGGTAAAATCTAGGAAATCTGGCGAATTGACCGTTACGCTGTGCAGACATCGAAATTTCGAATTAAACTGGCTGCAATTGTCACGCGATTTGTCCAATATTTTACGTCAGGGTGGGGGATACTATGATCTATTGAAGGTGAGTGAGAGATAGAGACATATATTGAATGTTTTCCTACTTCCACCAAAAAACTGCTGAAGTGGTCGAAAACTGGAAACGGTCGGCTAACCAGCAAACCAACCCTATGAGACTATGTAATTTAAAGTTTTTAAAGTGCATTTTGTGGTTGTTTTGTGAATGAACTCTGTTTATTTTTTTATTTTATTGACTTCATTAGTGTTTCTTCCAATTAAAAATGCCACAAACGGGTCTTGAAGTTGATTGTGGAAGTAGTTTCAACAAGGTAACAAGGATGATGTCAGGCTTTTCTCATTGCCCTTTGTTTTGAAATTTTCCAATTAAAGCGTGAAAATTTTTCACTGCCACTGTTCCTGCATCTGAAATGAAGCCATTTTCGAAATATTCGTAAGAATCTAAGCTTTTGTAGGCCTTCATTTGCTCATTAATTTGAACTGTGGATCAAAATGTCATCTGGACATTTTTTTAAACTAACTGTTCGCCCAGATCCCGATTTTCCTGCATTCAAGTCTTTGAATATTCACTTTGCATCTCAAAAAGTATATTATAACAAAGTAAACTGTAATTAGCTTGAAAATATTCCAAATAAACTCAAGATAAACAAACAAACGTCAAATTTTCCACGGTCGCCATATTGAAAAATCACGTGGTTTGGAGAGCCTAATTTCGCTTATGACATTTTTGATTGATTTGAAAACTGTCATTCGTCAAATTGCCAAGCAACAAACTTTCATACCTTTCGAAAATTTTGCCGACAAAATTTTTTCCCTTGTGATATTATATATGAATACTTTTGTTTAACGATAAGTTAAGGTCCCAGTTCCATCCGTAAGTGTCTTTATAGTACCAGAAGGTAGGTATTTTTTGTGGGAGTCCAAGTTTACGTGCCTAAACCCCTTATGCCTAAACAACTTAGGCATTATTTATCTATGTGTGCTGTGCTGTGTCCGGAAAGGGCTCCAGTCATTTAGTAAGTTCCTTTTTTTCTTTGATTTTCCTTTTCATAGTTTCTACAACACAGTTCTTCTCTAAAATATTGCTCTACTGTATCTGTGTTTTGACGTTTTTTTTTACGGATATGCGCACTCGCAAGGAAATGTCCTATCACGCTCGAGAAGCGGCAAGTGCGCGGAAATGTCGGTGTATGTTGGTCTTGAAACAGTTCAGGTTGTAACCTGCAGGGAAAACCGTCGCAGGGAGTTTATTCCACAGCGATGCTGTTCTCAAGAGATATGAATTCTGATATAATGAGGTTCTTGGTGCCTCTAGTTTGACAGTAAATTCATGGTTACCGTCTGTTTGACAGGTTCGCCTGGTAGGTGCTACTCTCGGTGGAATCATACGTGCCAACTCTTCAGAGCATTTTCCGTGATAGTACCTGTAGAAGAGAGATAAATCGCCCACAGATTTGCGATGTTCGAGACCATCCAAGTTACGAGTAAGTGCGGGGTCATTGATCAGCTTGATAGCTCGTTTTTGCACGGTATTCAAAAGCATTAAGGTATGTTTGGGTGCTGCACTCCATATATGTGAGCAGTACTCCATAGTTGGTCGAATCTGGGCTTTGTAGAATGTCAGCAATTGGCTTGTTGTGTACAGATGTCTTGTACGAAATAGCACCCCCAGCTTTTGGGAGGCCCTTTTAGCAATATCTGCCACGTGACTGTGCCAAGACATGTTGGTCTCTGCAGTAACCCCCAAGATGTTCAACTGACTCTGT